CCATTGGCGCGTCCCGAGCCAAACGTCACGCCGCGAGCGCCGCGCGCACCCCGCCCGGCCCCGCCCACTCCGGCATCGCCTCAGCAACCGCGGGGCAGCGGCGGGGCGGGGTTAAGTGGCAGGGCCGGCAGATTAAATTTCTCATCTGCGGTGCTTTATTTTCAGTGCACGCTTCTTGCAGCAGTAGCCGGATGGGCATTTCACACTCTGAATTGCGCTGTGAGAGTTACTCACGGGCAGGCCGTGAAGCGTAGCACAAGCGTGAGAGGAAAGCGAATGTCTTTACAAACGATTTGAGGGGTGGAGGTAACATCTTGAAATGTCTTGATGTCTCTGCTGACACTGGGCAGCAGGTTTGTCGCAGAGCCCAGACAGCTTGGCTTGTGAAGCAGACAAGGGTCTGCACAGCCTGAGTTTCTGAGCTTTGGGGTAAAATAGCAGGTTCAAGAGGGGAATATGTGCTTGGCTGTTCGGGAAGGCTGTACCTTCCTGGTGCCTCAGCAGTGGGGAAAGGAAGAGGGATGCGGCCGGGAGTTCGGGATCTTAAAAGGAATCTGTGCCCTCCAAAACCTCGATTGAGAAAACCTCGCGGGTGTGTGTCACAGTGGAATCTCCATTTATTCGAATAAAGTTGCAGGACTCCTCTGTCTCCTTTTCGGACATAAGCCTCTCTGCTTTTGTGGGTTTTCCTGACAAGTGTGAGGGAACTTACATCTTCTGTGTGGTTATATGCATCTTGACCACGGCGTACTGAACCTTGATTAACCACTGAGAGAAATGGGAGGAAAAAACCCCCGAACAGCTAAACGATGTCTTATTAACAGAATAAATTATATTCTCGATTCTGTTAAATCAGCATTTCATAGCTACGCTATACTATGAATTTTTTTTTTCTTACAGCTATTCCAAATTTCCGGGTTTTACTCATTACAGCTTGGATGTGTTGTGGCAATGTGATTTCAAACTTGAAAAGTTTTCATGGATCATGACAGAAATCATGATGTGTGTGCTTTTGTCTTTCCCGCTCCTTGCAAGGTCATGGAATTTTTGTTTTTCCAGTTCAGCCTTGAAGGCCTCATCTGTGTAGTTTTTGCAGTAGTGTAAATGAATATTTTACTTACTCTCCTACTTCATCAATAGAAACCGTCAAAGTTGGTGTTGCATACCTGTTAGCAGAGAAGTCCTGCAAACCCAGCCCTTGATGCAGTGTGACAATCCCATTGGAGACATGAGATCATGTAAAAAAAAACCCCATATTTTCTTTAGGATTCAGCATGAAAAATGATGAGCAATTTGCACATATTAGACCTACTTACTTACTAGTAACACACAAAACCACTGCAACCCACTATCTTAGTTCCTCATTACATGTTTTTTTCTTTTTTCTCATCTGCTTGATGGGCCTAAGTAACATCTACCAACCCATCCTTCCAGCCCCAAAAAACTCTCCCAAAACAAAACAAAATCTCACAGACCTGGGGGAAAAAAAGAAAATGAAAATTTTTAAAAGCCCAACCAAAAATCCCAAGAATCCCACAATTTCTCTTTTTACCTCCCTCCCCACCCCCAAACCAGAAGAAAAATAGAGGCATACTGGACATTAAAAATCACATAGTCTCTAGAAGTGCTGGTTTTCTGGTATTGTACACTTTGCATCCCTTTCCCTCAGGCCTCTCACTGTTTTCAAGGCAATAATTGGGCGCACAAATACACTGATTGTGATTAAATTAAACATGTTTTGATTAAAAAAATAATGCTTTCATCGTTACTATCTTAAGTGCTACTCTTAATTATTTATTTTTTTTTGTCCTGAGTGTACTTCTATCAAGATTAAAAATCCTCTCTTCACCTTTTTTTCATTCTGTTGTTTCCATTAATTTTGTTACAGCTCTTTCAGAAACACTTTGGAATCTTTCTGCAGATTATCTTTGATTTTCTGTATTTGAATTTCTATATCCCGATAATCACATTTTCACTGTTACTGAGGTATGCTCATTTGTGCATTAGTCTCATCTCCAGACAGTTGTGTTTCTATTAAATTACTTGCAGGTTACACCCTCTGTATCATTTTATTTATTTATAGCAGAGGATTCCAAGTAGTGAATTTTTCTAGCTCAACTGAATCTTTGCTGTAAGCAATTTCACGTTTTCCTCTATAAAGATTGATGCTGTCATTGATGCCAGAGTTGCTGTGGATTATTAGTTTATTTCTAGCGGGTGTACTCATGTGGCAAAACAGCTGCTGCTGCGACTGGAATTGCAGTATGAAAAGATTTGCTCTCATCTTAGATTTATTGTCTTGCATTACGAGGCAAGAGTTGCTTCATATAATGACAGCAATTTACAGGAATTGGATTCTGGGAGCATTTCTGGATACTTCTTATCAGAGTTGCCTGAGTGTGATGTTGCATGGTGATGTCCAATACATTCTGTTAAGGCTCAAAGTTAGAAAGTTGTTTGTCCCAACTAAGCAAACAATCAGATGTGAAATATCCTATGAAACTTTAATTAGTTTCTTCTATTGCTACCAAAACCAATGTCTTCAAATAAATGGAATTTTAACTTTTTGATTGAATGCTTATAAGAAGCACTGATAATCCAGTACTTGATGGAAAATATTTTTAAAACTTCTACTGGTTTCAATAACAGGGTGAAGTGTATGGCTCTATAAGAACAGACATTTAGACTTGCTGTATCTACTTTTTAACTTGTTTTTGGTGATCACCAGTAGGGCACAGAAGAGCAGCCATGATGTGGTGACCAACAGCAAGCTTTTGTTGATGCAGGCAGCTGGATGACTTCCAGATACCCTACTTAAATACCCTACCCATCTTTTCAGCTGCTCCATGTCCAGCCCTACATCAGACAGCCACGGTGGTGATGTTTGTACTGTCTGGTGTTAGCCGTCAGAGTAGCTCAGTGTAGTAGATATGACTCATATTTTACTGCCTCTACCACCAAGAGGTACAGAGCTGGAAATCACAGTGTATGAAATGCAGTGCCTACTGTGAGGACAAGAGGAAAATTGTATACAATATACTGTTATGTGTAATACCAAATTAATGAATATTGCAAATTGTTCTCTGTTAGAGGACATCCTTAGAAGTGGCTCTTACACACCAGCAGTATTTTCTTCCTTTAGCAGAGACTGGTTGGTGACACACAGGACTGCCTTGCTTTCCATTACCTTTGTGGTTTGGGAAGATCATTTATGTCTTGCTGAGTCAGCTCTGTTCTCATTTGCTGTGACATGCACACTGATGATGCCTTGCAGTGCTTTTCTGCTTGGCCATTGAATGGCTCATTTGTGAGCTGCCTTCAAACTGTTCAGCTCTGATCAGCTTGGAGTAGGATGTTTGTAGCTATCATCGTCTTGGAAGTATCATGACAGGAGTCTAAGAATATTTGATGTGTGAGAACTGTGGGGACTGAAAGATGCTGATGCACCCTCTTCTAACTGAAAACAGAAAAGCAGCAAACATTTTTTTAAGAAGCTGGTACAGACATATTTGAGCAAAAAAGGTTTACTAGCTTAAGCATGTTTGGCTGAAAATCCTGTAGAAATAATGAGCTGAAAATTTTTGACAACAGATGATTGCTTTTTGTTCCTTCAGCAAGGTTAAAAAGAAATGTGAGCATTTTTTGGGTGGCATTATTTTTATGTATGTCCCTATGTTCTATTTCTTTCACATTTCAGGAAGTTTTATCAAATTTAAGCCATAAGTTGGTAAAGTTCAGACCATTTCTATTTTGGAATATACTATTGGCATTACATTCTCTATTCTAAGTTATCCGTAACCACTTTGTGATTACAATGCTAATGTTTTTCTTTCTCAAAACTAACCTTGTTCTTCTTACAAGGAAAACCACAAATGTAAGAGGAAAAGATGCCTGAGTTGATTTAAGCATGAGGCAACATGGTTTCATTAAGCCAAAATTAATTAGCTATAAATCAGCATTCCTACATTAGTTGTATCAGTGTCTTTTTGATGTAAATATGTATTCTAAATTGTTCTAAATGCATATATATATATATATTTATATAAATCTTTATGTTCTAATTAATTCTTAAATATTTTCAATTATTAATCAGTTTAATGTAAGCAAGGATGTGAAAAATTAATAAGTATCTTGATCTGTTCATGAGAGATATTCCAGAGACAAAAATATATGCAGTGGTTATTATATGGGTCGGATACAGTTGTGTCTTCCACTTTAGACACTCTGAATTATACATGTCTTGAGCTGCCACCAAATCTTTCCTTTCAGTGCCAGGGAAAATCCAGAATCCAAAATGAGTGTCTTAATCCATAGCAGTATGCAACAATAAAAGTGCCAATCTGAAATCTTGAAACTACATGGTCTAATGAGCAAAGAGGAATAATGAAACAAAAGTGTATATTAAATGTTTAATATTTTCTCAACGTTTGCATTGAGTACGTATCTTAATTTATCATTGTACCACCTGTCAGTAGACCAGAACCCTGACTTTCTCCAGTACACAGCAGTTCCAGAGCATGCTGTCAGAAACAACATCCTACTCCTCAAATTTTCTACCCCCAAATCTCCTACTAACCTCTGTCTCACATGACTGAAGTGCAGTTTAGCACTGGTTCTACGTTACCAGGCAGGAAACATTTTTCTTTTTAAGCTTTGAAGGGTGGGGGATTTTTCTTGGTTTGATTGGGGGTTTTTGGGTATTTTTTTTTTTGGCATTGAATGGAATATTTACTGACAAAACTATTTCTTTCCCTTCTACTGTGTGTACAAATATATGGTTTCCACCAGTTATTTCCCAGTTTTCCTGATGAATAAATAGCTCAGTAGTAGAATATGCCACTGGTAGAATTGTAGCATAAAGAGACAAAGGCAAAAACTCATTCATGGGTACAAGAATATATTTTAATGTAGTTTTCTTAATGCTAATACACCTGTCATAATATAAGAGGTAAATATTAATCATATGATAATAAGTGCAGAAATCCAGGATCCTGATAGAACAGAGTGCCACTAGCTTCCCACTCTTGGATACGTTCTCTCTCTAGGTCCTGTGGTGTCAGTGGAGATGGTCTTGGTTTATATGCATAAACCTGGGATTAAATCTGACCTTTCTCTTTAAACACAACTACTCTTATATGTACACATTACATACAAGTATTTATTTGAGGCCTTGTAATAGTGTGTACAATCCTTACTGGCTCCTAAAGCCACTGGTAAAACGTGATGAAAGACAGAGGACTGAAGAAATTAACAGCAGCATTTGGCATGCACATTGGCTGGGGCACACTGGTACTGGGTAGGGAAAAAATGTCTTGACAGTCAGCACTTCCTCTAGATCAGAATATTCAGTTAAGGAGGATTTTTATGAAGTGTGGAAAAGCAATTTTCCTTCCTGCTGGGGTTGTATTGCTGCAGTCAGCTCTCAGGGGTTTGGGTCATGGGTGAATGACTTTGAAAGAGCTAATCATTGTTCATAGGTAGGAGACAGAGATATAGATTGACACTTTGTTCTCTCACAAGAGGTCCTGCACAAACACTATTTACTGACTTTAGTCCACCACAGAGAACAAGACAGGGTAGACAGGGTAAAATAGGTCGTAATAAATTATATAACAATAATAGCCAAGGATAGACAAAGAAGCAAACACCATTGCCCCATAGTACTCCATTTGGTTCTCCTTTAGATATGTTTCCCATATTAGAAAAAAACAGGATTTTTTTATTACTTAAACACTTTGTGGGACATGCTGTGGGTAATATCAGACAGAAAACAAAGGCAAAAAAAGAGTGATCAGTTCCAGAATGCAGCAATACCCTGCAATCATCATTCGGTGCTTCGGTTGATAACAGCTCTACTCACATTGAGGCTGCAGTTTCTTTTGAGGAAATGAGGGATTTGAATGACAAACACTCCTGAGGATCAACTGAAATCATAACTGTATGGCCAAAATGACATTATAACATTTGACATTAAAATGGCTTCTAAGGTTTGAGGATATTTTGTTTCTGTAGCTTAGCTTGCCACTAACATCCTGATGTTTACTTGAACAGTTGAAACAGATCTGTCACCAGCAAAAGCTGTAAGTGGCATGACATTGGTAAAGAGATATGGAAAGACAACTGAACTGCTGCAGATGTGAACTTCAAACATGACAAGATTTTTGACTGACAGAAAAGTGGAACAGAGGCAGAATTCTCCAAGGTCTGTTATCTTTGCACTTCTCTCTTCTTGTGTTCCTCTGTATCTTGGTACATTTTATCATTCTATTATCGTGCTTTGCAACTGTACTGTAGTGTCCAGTGTTACAGCTTTTCATTCCCACAATCTGGTTTTCTGTCCTTTCAGAATATTTTCTCTCAGTTATTTTTGAGAAATCAGAATAAAAAGGTACAATATTGTTATTTTATATTTACAGGCAGATACAAGAGGTATGGTAAGAACTAGAGATTGTATTAAGAAAGAGGAAGCAGAAAAAACATTATGTTGAAAAGGACTATGTTTTAGTGGATGTTCCACAGTTCTTTCAGTTAATTTTGTGTAATTAAAATATTTAAAATTTTAAGAACATTTGAAAAATTAGATACTATGACCAAATTTCCTTCAATCTGAACTATTTAAATCAATAGAAATAGAGCACAGCATTTGTCATGATAAAATAATTGTAAAATGCTGGAATATTACCAAAAAGAAGTAGTTAAACTATCATATCACAAATTTTAATGTAATCAGTATGTTCTCTGAAAGTTTTTCACTGTAGTTAAGCCAACAATTTCTAAAATAAAAGGCTGGGAGGAGATCTAATAGAAAACTTTCAAAATGTTTTAGTACAAAACAGTTTTCTAGAAATTTCATGAGCTAAATTAGATTGAAGTAATTATTTGCCAAGAAATAAGCACAAATCTGAATAGTTGCTCAAATGACAGTTTTATGTGCAGATGATGTAGGGAAAATGAAATTGCAGACATGGAGCCCACTCAACATGCAGTCACCTTCCTACACATCTCTCCTACCATTTTTGTGTTGGAAAATAGATGTAGACTGTTGCAGAGGAGTCTCTGGGTTCCTGTTATTTACATTCAGATAAAGCTACTTATTTCTGGTTTTCCTAGTTTAATTCCTACAGGTACTATTGCACCTGCATCAGATACCCTGGCTGCTGCACCAGTCAGTGAAGGAAGTACACACACACACACACACATACAGATACTCCTGGTCAGCTTAGGCCAGCTAAGAAATGATGGCTAACCCTAGGCCTCTCTTTTTTAAAGAGGGCTTAGAAACACAGAAGTTCTAGAAATAGAAGGAAGGTACTGTTATGTGTAAAATTAGGAGCTCAATGTGCACACCATATTTTATCTGATTGCCTGTAGTCTGAATAACCATATATTACCTGGCTGCAAACCCATTTTAATTCTGTTATTTTTATATAATTTGTCAGATTGTGCATTATTTGATACTGAAGAGGCTTAGGTCTTAGTGCATGGTCATCTGTAATCAACTGGAGTTCTTACTAGTGAGCAAGGAATGAGGGAGTCTGCAATTGCCATAATTCTTCTGCTAAAAATAATGTTTTCATCATTACTATCTTAGTAGTAAGATAGTAATGATTAGTGTCTGCCTTAGTACTGGCTTATTGCAGCTTATATTATGCCTCATGAAAACTCACTTCAGATTTTTTTAATCCTGAAATTTTTGCACCAAAGTACAACTTAAATGCAGAATTGCCAGATATTTCAACCGAGTATTTATTTTCTTCAGTGCAGCCTTCAGCACAGATTTTGCTAAGATCTATACTTTCTTCTTTTAATTTGTATTGTATTCTACCAGCTTAATACTCTGTGCTTCCTGATTAAGCTGCTGGACAGTCAGTTTACAGTTTGAGATAACTGTGATTTTTAACCCTGGAGTGGGTGTCTTCTTATGGGCCAGTGGAATTTGGTGTTGCTATCTTTTGTTAGAGACAATAACTAACAGTAATTGTTCAGGATTTCAAGGATTGCATTGATACTGAAGTCCATAAGTCATAAAAAGTCTGCAGTTTCAAAGTGATAAATTCCTAGAATGCTAAGGACAGAATCTGAGTGAAAATCTAGAAAAAAATCCCCAAGATTTTTATTTGGCCCTGATTTTCAGCATGGAGGATACATGTAATTCCCCCACCCCCTCCCCCCCTGCCTTAGGTGCAGTGTCAGACTAACGAGCAACCTAAGCAAAAATCTGCCTTTAAGAAGCATCTCAATATGCTCTTCAAGAGGAGTCAGTTCAAATCCTGGGGTGATTTTCCTTGCTATTTTATTCACACCCCCCTGCCCTTTCTCAGAATAACACCAGGATCTAGGACACCAGCAGCTTCTATTGTTCTGCAAGGTTGTCTCTCCCTCCTGTGACAAGATGCAGAGTGGAATACACTTTGATGTGAAATGCCTTGGGCTTTCATCTTATGAGCTCCCCTAAAAGATCCAAAAACATTCCAAGCAAAATAAAAGCTAAACTTTATTTAAATAAATAGTTGTGTTTCTACTTTTTTATATAAAGAAAACCTAAGGCAACTTGAGGTAACACCACAGAAAAAAGATTTATGCGTTGTTCTCTTCTTGTCCACTATCACTGCAGACCGACCCTAGGTTTGAGCTGCTGGGTGCCCCCAGTTTCTATGTAGTCCTGTGTGCAAGTTCTTTTCAATCTTTCTAGAGCCAGGCCATTCTTTCCTGTGAATGTCCTGTCTATTCCTTCTTGTGGTCCCCTCTGGCTTTCTCTCCCTTGGGCGTGCTGAGTTATCTCCTGGTATGTGGAGCAGGCTTCCTCCTCAACCAGGCTTTTCAAAGGAACAGAACATGTAACAGAGAACACACAAAATAAACAAACACTGCATTATTGTATAGCTAGGGAGAATGGCAGAGAGAATGATAATCCAAAGATATTAATATATTAAATTAATTTCTAATAGTTTGTATATCCCATGTGTGTACATGTGTGCATATCCATGGGCATTTATGATTCTTTCCAATAGCTGAGGTAACAAGACACAGTTTGCTCAGTCTTTCCTCATAGTCTTCCTCACAAAAAATAACAACTGCAAGTAACAATGATGGCAAAGGAAATCCTGCTGTTTATGGTAAAATTTACAACTGATTAATAGTGATATTTAAAACTTATCAACTGCAACATGGTAGTTTCAAATTTCATGAGAGCTACTTTTTCATGCTCCTGTGAGGCTGCAAAATCTGAGCTCAGGGTCTTTGGGTGGCTTCACAAAGTCAATGCAGGCAGCATCCAAAGAAATTCCAGTTTTACAGTTTTACTGTCAGATTTCATGGTATCTCCCTGGCCACCTGAAGTGCTTTAAAAACTTCCTGTTGTTCAAAAATAGTTTTTCAGAATACATTTTATAATACTCTTCTTTGCACCTGTGATTTTCATCCACTTTGTTTTTAGCTATCCAGAGCATGTTCTCTTAGACCTTACATTAAGGACTGTGTAGCAAATTCATTTATACACATTCTTGATATTCCAGCAGGCTTTTATCTCATTATCTATCTGCACCTGGAAGATGTGGAATGAATTTCAGCAAAATAATTTACTCTCCTGCCACCCTCCTACAATTATTCTCACAGGTGTTATTGGTGGAGTTACTGTTAGTAATCCAATGTGTACTTTTGTAAGGCAAAATTTCATCATCATCCAGTAGGACAAGTAAATTCCTTGCATTGCTTCAGTGTTTTCACTTACCATCTACACTACAAGATAATCTATTTAAAATTTATGATATAATGAAGTTCAAAGCTATCCAGCTAAATCCCATGTTCCCAAATTAGCTTAATATTTAGTACCCTTTTGTGTTTTCTTAGGTCCAGGTGTAGACTAGCAATCACAGCAATCGTCACTTGGTGGAGCCAGATTACTCTGCATGTGAATGTGCTTTACAAATAGTTTTCAGAAAAGCTATCAAAGACAGGATTTATAAATATTACTTTGGAGGAAGATTAAAAACAAATTGTGGGATTTTAATACATCCTTTTAGGAATTAGGAGCTTTACATCTTTGCTTTTAATTACTCTAGCACAGAAGAAGTATCAGACTTGCTGGGCAAAGCAGAGGCTATCTCTATTTGCTGGAATAAAATAGGAATACAGTGTTGGTATATTTGATAATGTACATGCAAACCTGCAAGGATGAAGCCATAGCTTTCAATTTTGGTAAGATTTTTTAAAATTCAGTGTGTTAATGTTTATACATGTTTTTTACATTATTTTCTCACAAATACTTTAAATCTATACCATCTCTCTTCTTAATGTTCTTCATAAAATCTGGAAAAAACACCTTATTTATTTCTGGTGTAGAGAACAGATGATACATGGAGGAAAAAAGGAGGAGATACCACACTGTAAACACCTTCTCTATACTCTGCTAAGTATGAAGAACTCTCAGTAACTTTTCCTCACAATTTGTTTCTTTTCTATCCATATGAATGGGACACTATTTAAAGAAGTTTCAACAGTAGAAGCACCTACTTCTTATTCTGCACTGTATGTACTGTGCACACTCTAACAAAGAACTTGGGGGATTTATGGCTCTCTCTGCTATTGTGATACTCAGCGATCAGAGGTCACTATTGGGAGTGTGTGTATTTTCTTGTGGTTTTGTGTGGCTTTGTCTTTTTTTTCTATAATTCTCATTTTTTAGTGTTTATGTGCACTGAATTCCTCTGAAATGGGTCAGGATAGGTATTTTTGAGGAGTTGTTCTGACTACCATGTGAATGAAATCTTACACTTTCAATATATTCTTTAGACTTTTCAGATCTCATTTACTGCGAATAGACTTTGTCATTTGAGCTCAAGCTTCATATTTTATTGCATAATATATTGAGCACATGGCTTTCCTGGTTGGTGGCCTCCTGTGCCAAAAAGAGCCAAAGATTCTTCCCATCAGCTATGTGTTGACACATATATCATATCTGGCAACCAGGGTTATAGAACAGGAGAGAAGCCACAGCACTGGGGAGAGGAACTTAAGATTGGCCAGCTAGAGGGGTTTATGCTGTGAAATCCAAGTTAAAAGACAAAATTCTCAGTAATATAATGGCATCACAATCCCACACATTGTATGTCTTTGCTCACAGCTCCCATGTGTGTTTTTAGAACTACATCTGCTTCTGTGACCTGTTGAGTCAGCTGACAGTGAGATTTTCAAGCCTTCAAGATACTGGCAATCCTGGCACAGAGTGTTCTTATAAATTCTTCTATCCTAGTATAAAAAGGTAAGAAACTTCTTCAAAATTTGATGTTACAGCTTCCTAGACTGTTCATACAAAAGCATACTAGAGACATTATTCAGAACCACTAAGATTATCTAAATAATAATATTTCCTTGATTATTTTTGCATATAACACAGCCTTTCTCAGTGGATAAAAATATACATCATGAAAACAAGCCATATTTCTAGAACATCTTCATTTATAACTGTGGGCAGCAACAAGATATATGTTAAGGAAGATTAAAAATTACTGTATTTCTCCCTTGCAAGGGAGGAGAAAAAAAGGACATATTAACCTTCATGTAAGGAACAGATCACATTTTATGGAAAGATGTTTTATGGAATGATATTACTAGTGAAAAAGAGGAAAGGTCAAGCAGAAGAAAAACTTGAAATACAGAAGTGACTTTCCCACCTACAAAAGGGCAGGATGTGCTCTGTTAATGCTGGAAGATGGAATAGGGGCAGGATAGATGTGGAGTGATGGTTTTGCACATCCAGAAAGCTGGAAAGAGCCCTTGTGGTGGCCTCTTTCTGGATCATTGTCCAGAACTTCTATTTAGGCAAAATGATGACAAGTGTTAAATTTTGCAATGCTTTTCCAGATGATGAAATCTGTGGAGGTTTGGGGGATTTTATTTCATTTTGTTTTATTTCTAACTGGATAGCTCTATTTATCTTTTATACTTTTCGTTATACCCTATTTGCATTTGGTTTCACTGCCTTTTCTTAGGATAAGCAGTACTTATTACAAGTCACATAGGATGTTTCACATCCTTGAGCAGGGAAGAAAATTTTTGAAATGTATTTATTTTTTCTGATTTTCTGCTTTCCTTCTGTGATACCATTTGAACAGCTGTATCTAGCTCTGCCAACAAGGGAGAGAGGTTCTCAGCTGAAGGGTTTTAAAAGTTCATTAGTTTAATTTATTCTGCCTCTCCAATGGAGATTTGTATTGTCACTGGAATAGTAGCTCTTATCTGTTATTTTTCCTCATCCTTCCTCCCCAGTTGAATTGGAGATTTACAAACAAAATCCCTGATTTCATGCATTTTCTAACTGGTATGTCTAGTTTCATTCCTTTTATATAAACTACTTGATTTTATGTTCTCATATTTTCATTCATTTTATTGCTCTTCTCTTTTTTTTTTTTTATATTTTCCCTGTGGTTTTGTATCATCAGGAAATTTCACTTCTTCCTGAACGCATCTTCATCCAGGTTAAAAGGGAGAGACAGTCAATCAGTCAGTAAATCCCTACTCTCTGAAAACACAGTCAGCACCAGCTGTAGCTCAATTAAACTTAACACTTGAATAGTTCACAAGAGAACCCACACTTGTATACACACATTAATCAAATAAATCCATTTTAACCTGTAGTCATATTCCAAACTTTCAGTTAATAGCTTGGACAGTAAAGTGTGGGCTGGAGATATGTGATGCAAGTAGCAGATAATTAAACCTTCTCAGCATAATGTTTAAAATTAAGATGTCCTGATACACACTCTAAATAATCTGTGTTAAAGGAACCTAAAATATATGTAGTTTACATTCCTAAATGTTGATGAACACTTCTCCTGAGTAATGCAAGCAACTCAGCTGTTCAGAACCACTTGACATCTTTCTAGTTTGAAAATAGAGAAAAGTATTGTAGTTTTTATTTTTTTTCCTAGAAACTGTGGGTGCAACTGTTTGTAGAAAGAAGACTGTTTCTACACATTCTTAAGTCAACTTAAAAAATATTGTAAATAAAGTTATGCTTATGTTATTGAGACAGAATTTAGAGCTTATGTTATTGAGACAGAATGTCTGTCTGCATTTCTTAATTCTGCAGATATTAAGAATAATTCCCAAGGATCAATGATTTCATAATCCATATTTAGAACAACTGGTATGTAACAATATGTGCTTAAATCCTGCTGACTCCATGTTAATGACCCTTACTGCCTTGACCATGGGACTGTACTTTATAGCCAGCAGACCCCTACTAAAGGGCACTCCAACTAAAAAGTACCCCAGTCTGTGGAGAATGCAGGCCACGTCAGACTCTGTTCTAGCTTTCTAGTCTCATTAATTAAATGTCTTCTGAACAGGTTTCAGACAAGGTCAGGCTGGCCATGCTGATTACTATTTAGAATGTGTTCCAAAAGGAGCATTACTGCCGCTGGTTGGGAATATTTTACTGAAATTACTTTTGTCATTAAGTGACTGGTTGTCAAACTGAAGTATATTTAGCTTGGTTTGGGATAGCTGTCTTGACCCCTTGCTGGAACAAAATAAGGATGGACAAGCAGGTGTCCCAAACCACAACAGTCAATTTCACAAACTCTACTGGGATCAAGTCCTGGCTGCAGTAAAATGTTTGAGTGTTTATAGATAACATATATGTGAAACAGTTCCACCCCAAGACAACCTGGTGCTCATGCTATATTAGAAAAAGGCTTAAACTTGCACCCCTTGTTTAAACCAGGTTGTACAGCATGTTGACACTTCCTGATCTGGAAGTGTCAGGGAAAGCATGGTTTCTCTTGGTGAAAACCTTCAAGAAGCTTTAATTTCATACTCATGTGGAATGAAAAATATTTGAAATGTGGAATTACATGGGAAAACACATTTTTTCACAGCTGTAGTTAAAATCACTTTTTCTCTGAAGGGGAACATTTTTTGGTGATAGACTGGTAGGCAAAGCCATGAAAATGTTTTGCTTGTCACAGGCCATCAGCAGTGATCCTCCCTTGGGTTGACAGCAGTGATGCAGACAGATCACTTCCCACACCCTCTGCAGTAATGGAGTTGGATTGCTTGATATGCAATCATGTGCTCTTTGGCTGGTTATTTCACCTTGCACCCAAACATTCCCAGTTCCAAGCAGAAAAATCCCTAATCTGGAAACCTGGGAAGTTACTAGAGACACCCTGTGAAAATGATATTACTGTTCCTTCTTTTGCCTCATGGCCTGTGTACGGACACTGAGAGACACTGAAGTTAGCTACAGAGCTTTCTTAAATCAGTGGGATCCTTTGGATCTGCCTTAATGTCTATGGATCAAGTCCTAGCAGAACTCTGAAAATAAAACTCTAGCAGTTTACAAGATATTATTAATTTAGTGGTGAAAAAATTTGCTATATGATTGATAAATAATAGGAAAATTTCCAACTCTGTCTAAAACTTTTACCTCACTGACACATCCTAGCTCCAAAATAGTTTTTATAGAGGATTATAGTAGTGCTCTAGGTTCTGAAATCACTGGTGTATTCTTTCAGACACTCCTAGGTATCTGTTTGCATTTGAAAGGCACAGAGAGTTCTGAACTCTGATTAAGGCATGATTTATGGTATGAAAAACTTGAACATCTTTTGGTAAAAGGAAAAAAGATCCTGGCTTCAAAAGCTGCTCCAGTTCTGACACTTTAATAGATGTATTACTCATTTTTATTCAGTATAATTTTAAATAGAATCACTGAAAACAGTGCCATAGGCTACAGGGTGGCGCAGCTTTGAGGTGGCAAGTAAAGTAACTTGTGGATATTTAGAAGTGCTCAACAAAGCATAAATTACAACAAGGATCGGAAGACAGGAAAAAACTCAGATGCCTACAAATAACTGAATGTTTCCCTAGGGCATAAACATTAATGACTTTAATTAGATTATAATTGCTCATGGAAGCATAGTCTTGCACAAGATAAAAATACCTGACATTGCATTTGCAACTAGGCAACTGCATGAGAAGTACAAGGAGGTTTAATGTTAAACAGAAGTTATTTACTAAATAAATATAAGGTTATATTTTATAAATATAAGGTGGTGCATAGTATATGCTCTATGTATTCTCTATATATTCTCAGGATATACTCATATATTTTTCAGATGGCAGCACTGCTTCATTTGGCACTGAGTTTGTAGTTGTTGGAGTTAGAGATTGTATTAACTGAAAGAATAACAGATGGCAACAGTGTTTGCTTAACTGAGGGTCTTTAGGGCCCTATGTACTTTATTTTCTCCAGCATACTTGCAAAAAGATGCCTCAGTGACAGTGCTTGGAATACCCTATCCTTGTGTTGAGTGGAGATCTAGATATTCACCCAATATTTATAGCTCCATAAATTAAACTATTGATTTAGATCCATGAACTGCATATCAGCTAAAATAGTTCTGTTATATTCCAGGAGGTTTGATATACCAGTTTATCAGGCAAGTGTACAACATGGCTACATGATGACTAAGTCCTTTTACTCATTCTGGAAGTCTGCTGCTTGCTAACCTGTAAAAGTCACAATAGGGAAGTACATTTGATTAAAAAAGTGACTTTATTCTCAATATGGGAACTGAGAAGCTTTACCCTCAGCTACAGTCTTGCTGAAACATTACCTTTCATGGAGTCTTTGTTCTCTTGATATGCAGTCACATAACCACACAAAGAAGAGTGCAGAGCATCTACTGCCCCCTTAACTTACAGTCAAGTGATTAAGTTTCCTGTCAAAATAAGTTTTAATCCCCTGAGGTAAAAGAAAAATGAGTTCTACTCTCTTGCACACTTTTTAAACGTCCTAGCCACTAAGCAATTACTGATAGAGGAAAAGGGCCATAACAAAAACACACTGAAAAGATGCAGCTGCTGCAGATTAGTTCAAAACCTTGTGCAAATCAGAGAATCCCTGCTGTCTTAGCATGGGGCAGATACATATCAGGTGTCCTACCCCTAGTTTCTCATATGGATGGATTATCTGTCCAGTAATGTCTGCTCTGCTAGAGGTAGAAGGATCCACTGTTACTGGCATCTATTCATACTATTAACAAGATGAAAGTTTTTTTTGTTATTTTTTAACAGGAAACGGTTACATGAGGACTTCACAACTATGAAATATTGTGAGAGAATAAAAATGGTTAAAATATATGAACCTCTAAATTATGTGTTTATAATGGTGCTAAAATCTTTCAAGAAAAGTTAAAAAATACAAATACATAATACATAAAAAAACTAACATTGGATCTGACTTTAATCTGAAAGAGCCTGAGGCAACAGGCATTTTCTCCAAACACTCCTTTCAGTGTTTCTCACTGAGAACATTTGATCATTGACTAGCATCAAGGTAATTGCTCTGCAGCACACAGACTCAATTCATGACTCAGATCAACTATTACATGGATTGTTTAAAAGCATTTGGACACTGTCTGGGGGAGAGAGCCTGGGCTCTGATCAGATCCAGCAGACCTGTGAAGAAACCTGGGTGGACACTGCCTGCAATGTAAACATGGAACAGTGTACACTTGTATATTTGACTCAGCTGAAAATATGCAACTCCACTAAAATGAAATATAAAGGAATAAATGTAGATGAAAAGGCACCATGCAAGTACCGATCCCATGATGTTGATTTTACAGCTTAATAGTTATTTAAAAGTTATTAGTTATGCTAAAATATTATTGGGGGGGCATGTTAAACTACTCATCTTTAAAAACAGCAAGATTATTTACCTGACAAGATCATTACTTTCATATCATCGTGTCCCAGGTAAGGTTAGTGACATATCATTGGGTCTTAGGAATAGCTGCAGGTGTTCTCAACTAGCACAAACACTACTAGCATTAATTTACTTCTGCAAGCCTTTGACCTTCCTCCTATAGCAAATAAAGTGTTTCAAACAATTGTAAGAACATTAGTTACTCCTAATGAGAACACTATTGACTACAATTGCACAGACGCTTTACCTTTCTAACATAAAGCTGTAGCTTGTTGGTGCTGATATGAAAAATAGGTCAGGTGAAAATACTAGAGACCAAATTCTGGGATCCTTATTTCATTTTTATGCACTTTTTTCTCCTTTTAATTCTAGATGGATGAAACTTCCGACAGAGAGATCAGTTAGGAAATTGAGAGAGAAAAATAGTCTTTAGCTCAATACTCCTTACTGATTTGCATTTTAGGTAGTGGTATTTCCTTAAGGGATTGTAGGTCTTTTAATCTCATATGCTCTGCACTATAGCTCTTTTCATTTGCTTCATCTCAGTTTTTTTACCCTACTTTCTTCTTTTATACTTCTTTGACTGTTTTAACCCTTTATCTTCCATAATTCTGGACTTTACCTCCATGGCCATCAAATAAAATAAATCCAAGATGACAGTTACTGTCATACCTGTAATGATCTAGTGACATAATATCTCACTTTCCCTTGTCCTCAATTATCCTCAAAGCTGAAAGCTCTTAAAGTAGGGATTTGTTTTCTTCAATTTAACTCTACGGAGTCCCAAGGAAATTTTGGCTCCTGCATTGCTCAAAGCGTCTTCCCCTTTTCTCTGTAAGCAGTGACTCACAAACTTGGTGTACTCTGACTTGTAGGTAATATGGTTGTGCTGACTGCACAGCCCATTCTTCCTTCCTCCCTACTACTTGGAACTATCCCTATCCCTACCCCTGATATATGACCACTAGCATAATTTTGTTGTTTTAGCCACTGTATTCTTTCTGTACATTGTATGCAAGATAACAGTTTAAATACCAGAAAAAAAAGGTCATCAAGGTTCATGCAGTGTGAAACAGTCACTGTAAGTACTGAGTGTTTAGAATATGGTAGAGTTGATACTGGAAGAATTACATATTTCTGGGAATATCTTAGAATCCTAGATCCTGATTCATAAATGTCGTGTCAGTGTTATTTAGTGTCTTTTTTTAAAGAAAAAAAAATATTTAAAAATGTGAAACAGCCACACTTATTGTACACTGAAACAGGCTTAAAGCAAGGGACATTATTGATAATTGATTAGCTTTAAAGTTGAGCAGTATTAACACATCTCTTATTTCAGGAAAAATTTAAACAAATGTGTGACTTCAAATGCTCATAAGTTTACAATTACTGGACCATTTTTCATTAGCCATGAATAATTTTTCCTTCCTTTGCGAGGATTTATGAAACAACCTAGAATGACGTGTGGAGAATTAGCCATTTTTAAGATTTCCATGCTTGAAAATTTCAATCAGCACATATGGCGAAAGCACAGCTTATTTTTCATGCTGGCTTAACTGAAGTGACTGAATTGATTTTACTCATGCTTTCCAAAATAATTCATCACTGGACTGAGAACAGGCGCAGACATTTTTGGCTTGACAGAATTTGCATGAGAAAGTTAGGAGCCACTGATGCAGGGGAGGGCTGTGCAGTGGATGGAATTCCTCTTTAAATGACAGCGGTCACTACCAGCTGGATCCTGAAGAAGCTTGATCTGCACACTCAAGTGAGCAATAATTGAGGATTCCAGCAGAAAATTAATAGACTGACAAATACTTTTTGTGCTTGATGAACTGTAATTGCATAGGAAGGCCAAATGCTAATGGTAAAACATAGCCTAACAAAAAAAGATTTATGCCATGGATATGGGGATCATTATTTGACTGTCTTCTCAAAGCAGCAGTTATAATCGGGGGAAAAAAGCTTCTGTCAATCCATTTAAAAAAACCCCAATTATGAAAAGTTAACAAATGCTCATGTTCTCTTTTGCCTTTTGTCCCAACATCTGATAAACTACAAACAGAAAATTACAACTAGTAAAAGTCAAGCAAGTAAAACCGTGGGAGTTTTATCTCTGGAGAGAACTCAGTGGTGCAACTCTACCTTGAAACAGTTCAGTTGCCAGTACCTCAAATGGTGAAAGGTATCTTGGTTTATCTGTGCTTAATATCTGCTCCAGTTATAGAGTTTCACAGAGATGTGTTGCTTTTCCTGATGGATTGGTTGGCCAAATGAGACTTTTGGCAAACGCTAAGGAAATTGCATCATACAAAAGAAAATCTGTTGGCAGATCCCAGAAACATCCAGAACAAAGTGGTCCATCACCAAGAGTGATGACTGACCCCCCGAAGCAGTGTCCTATTACATTAGGCTGTCTGGGGCAGCGTGGATGTGTTAACTGAATCCCTGGGCTAAGAGGTGTTGTTTCTCAGTAGGACTATTTGCTTCAGCTGTTAAACCATCTTGATGCACTTACACTGTTTGTGGACAGCCCTTGCCAAGGTAATGATTTTGGAGAACATAGCGTTCTTGTTTAGTAAAACAAAAAAGAGGTGGAGAAAAAGCTTCTGATACACCACAGAGGAGAGGGGAAAAAAAACAAAAACAAAAGGAAAAAAAATGGTACGTGCTGGCCTTGGTATAAAGGGAAATAAGTACAGTCTGACCATAAGGAAAAATAGGCTTAGACTTTACAAAGGCTTCTAGCTATTGTTACAAGCAGATTTTAGAACAGTGTGTTTATGATAATAGGGCAAAAAACCTACAGGTGCCTTGAAGTGGATCTCCTTAGATCTAAAATAAAGTTTATGATGCTGTTTGTGACTTTAAGCATCTAGACTTTAGGGATAAAGTCTGGAAAACGTCTCTAAATTTTTGTAATATTTCTCTAGGAGTAGGTAAGGCAACCTACAGACAATTTTGTTGCTTGCTATTCCTTACAGCTTTCCCCTAAGTGATAACTATTCACAGCCTTGCTTAGTTCTTTCCTTTTTTCCTGAAGAGCAGTTAATTCAGTTCCATACCTTCTGCTTGTTTGTACAGGAAATAAAACAAAACTCTTTCTGGTTTGCACTGCAAAAAATCTCCCTGAATTTCAATTAATGAAGGCTCATTGAAAACTCTTCACTAGCTAGTGAAACATAATTATCCGTAGAATAGTTAGGGCCATATCACTTTGCCCCTGAAAAGAATCATGTCTTTCTCTTCTGAAGCCTTCTGAATTCAGCCCTTAGCTATATCATTGTTACAGGGTAGATAAATTAGAGGAGAAATGAGCAATATAGATGAAGTTTATTGTCATTTTTAAGTTATGGATTGTTCTTTTGTTTCCTGTCTTTTTCTTTCCTAATCCACCATAACTGTGCCAAAGTATATGAAATGGTGTTTTTTCCTTGTCTGAGAACAATGAAGCCTGCTGGAATTAATAAGTGAATCAAGGGTAAATGAACTCTGAAAGCAAATAATGAGAAAAATCTCTGGATAACAAACCTTTTTATATGCCCATTAAGAAGACCTGCAACTTTTAAATGAGTTGCCTTTAAATGCATACAATGTATTAAAGAAATTTTAATACCTACTTTATGCCTTAAAACATTTTGGTGCCTCATTAGTACACTTGATCAGGCAGGTTGTTAAGTATCCATCACCAAACAGTGATGGAGTGTAAGAAATTGCCTTCTGTACCAATAAAGTGTCCCCTGAATCCAGTTCAGAACTGGTGTTTTAAGGTTAGCAAGATAGAAATTGTGCTTTTATTAAACGCCGTTAATTTTTATTCTTTCTGAGCCCTCAATGTTGTTCAAGTGTTTAATATGACTCAGATTAGCTGTCCAAAACAGTGCTTAAAATTTTCTTTCTGTTTTCTGAAAGAAAACCTGGCATTTTTAGGAGCATTCTTAAAACTTTAATTTGTTCGTATTTTTCCTACAGATATAAAACATGCAAGTTGTAGTTGGCTTCCAAGGACCATGACCAGTGTTTTGATATTGTCTGAGCAAATAGGACTGAAACAAGCTATACTGCCAGGACAGCCATGTCAACAAGAGTTTCTTCTGAGCTGATGAAAAAGCCTGTTAGGTTAGGCTTGCAAACTTTCTCTGAACTGCCCAACAAATGGTTTGAGCCAACTCAAAGCAAGAGTGCAATTGAATCAGTGCAAATGCATGTTTTAGTCCCAGGGCTGCTGAGCAAGAGTGTTTTGGCATCATGTTGGTAACTGGACCTTAAATTTGAAATTCCAGCTGATTTGCATGCTCCAAAATATAGGCAGAGCTTAGTGTTGGTAGAATTTACCACCTCATAGAAAGAATGTGTTTTATGATGATTTGAAATAATTTTTGTGCTATGTTATGTTAAATTGTTTAATGTATTCTAAATGTTGTGAAACAAGATATTTCAATATTATAATTGAGTTCTGGCATTTTCCCTGTGGTTGAAAGGTCACCCTGGTGATTGTCAAACATCATTCTGTTCTGACTGGTCTCTCCTTTGCTAAGTTTACTTTGTATTTATTGAGTATGATATTCATGGTATAAGGGCACTTCAGTCAAGGAATGGCTGTTTCAGTTCCACTGCCAAGAGCTTGACAAGTCAAAATTGTAGGTAGTTTTCATTCTGAGATTTGTTAATAATTTTTTACTTCTATATTCCTCAACTTCTGTAGAGCTACTTGAATAGCCCTTCAATGTCAACCATCATACGTTAAAAGTATGTATGTTTTAGATGTTTGCTTGACATCTGGGCAGTTGACTTTTTAATGTGAGGTTTTTTGATCAGTTTTTACTCACTATTAGTATAATACTAATTATATCATACTAAGTATCATATTGCTTTTCAAAGTGATTCTAGGATCAGTCTCCTCACTGCTGTTAAGAAACTGCATAAATTAGAGGCATTGGGATGATGTGCATGGTTGATGCTTGAGGGATTGTGGGCAGAGCATAGTTTAAGAGTGTTGTAAATAGGTTATTCCATATTCATATAGATAAGTGCTACCTGTTGTGCTGTAAAGTTGAATATGAGTTGGAACATGTGTAAGGAGACCAGGAAAGGGGAAAGACTTGTTTAATCAGTAGTCTCTGATGCTTGGTTATTCTGCTTACAGAATAAGCTTCTGAAAACTACTTGATAAGTCATCTGTGTTAAATTGCTTTTGTTCTTGTTTTCCTTGAAGACTTGCATTGCTATCCATTTTTTTCCAGATTCTGTACTGCATTGGTATATGAACTTCATATAAAGCATTAGCAAGTTCTCTTCACAGGGTAGATAGACAAAACAATCCTTTCCCAGCCCGAGAACCAAGGACACCATTGCAGCTTCAGGCCCAAAATGTATAAACAGCAGTGAATTGAGGAGAGCAATCTGGGAGGATGGGACTTCATAACCTGAAGCTGTAATTGGACAATAAACCCCAATATGTGAATGGACCAAAACTTATAAAAGTGTGAAAACCTGTGATCCATTGTCCATCTTGTGTGGAGCCTTGGCTGGGCTCTTGTACTGCCCAAGGTGTATCCTTTGAAGGCTTTTAAAATAAATACCTACTTTATTCCTTTAACACTATCTTAACAGCCTCTGTTCTAGGTAGCCTCTCAAGGCATCATTATAGTAACAGCCTCCAGACTCAGCTTTTTGGCAAAGAGGACCAAAATATCTTTAATGTCTCCTTTATTTTGTGTCTTCTGCTTCCCTGATAGAGCATAGAGAACAAAAGTGACTTTCAGAGGCCACTTGCTTCTCCTAGTTACCTTCATGCCCTGCATAAAAACTATCTGGCCTGAGCTAAAGGTATTCCTTTACATGTCAGAGCAAACAGTTGTTTGTTTGTTTGCATGTTTTTCCTATTATGCCAGGACTATATTCATGTTTACAGATGGTTGCTATATCAATCCATGGAATACAAAAACCAGCACAATAGGGCTGGAACAAAGACAAGTAAATTAACCATAGAGTGGCATTCTGGAGACTGCAGATTTAGCAGGGACAGTTTAATTCATCTAATTATGCTTTATGAAAAGCCTACTGAAAGAGAACTTTTCTCCTCACACAGATACTGAACAAGTATCATCAGCACAGTGGTTATTGATGACCATGCCTGAAGATGGGTACATGGTATATATTATTAATAGCAAAAAAATCACTCTTTCTTGGATCTTCTCACTGTTTTCAAAATCCAGGGTAGGGATCTAGGGACTAATTGACCTATTACACACAAATCTCTTAGGAAGACTCTCTTGCTACTTGATGCACTCAGGCCTTATATAATTATACATCTCAATTATAGAGTGGTGAACTTGCTCTCATAAAAAGAGAGCAGCTTCCATTCCTCAATGTTTACCTAGTTTTAAAGCCAAGTTTGTACTTCTAAAGTACCTTCTATGGAGGTTACATTCCTAAGGACTGGATATCTTAGCAGATTAAGGTGCTGATCACATTATGTCTAAATGTTGTGACAACTGGAGGACTAATTAATGCTGAAGCCAGAGTGGGAGGTTAAGTGGTGCTTTCCCAGTGCCTGATCCAAGCAGGGAGAGTGCAATCCAGCAGGAGTCTGGTAGCAGAATAATCCACAGTGTTCTTGGTCCCCTCACCCCTGTGGTGAGTTTGCCCCAAACATTGCTCTGATGGAGTGTGAGTGCTTTCTGACCAGATGCTATTCAAATGGATAAGGGTAGAAATATATTGAAATGGATAAATTCTTCTCCAGAAGAGTTTCTTCACTGGCTTCTTTCCGTATTTGGACCAGTTGGTATAACCTCTTTGGGGTACCCACATGGTCCTCCATCTAACCAAGAATTTTTAAAAATAAATAAATGAGTCAACTTGAAGTATGAAAACACCGCATAAATTTGTGACAGGATGGGGGAGGGAAGTGGAAAGAAAGCAACAGTCAAAACCTATTTTGATGCTTCCAAAGTCATCCTCTGGCATGGCAATTTCTGTCTAGACCTAAAAGAGCATCCTTTACATCAGAGTGATCTAGTCACTGTAGTCACAGGACAGGGAGCAAAAAAATACGAATCTGTGTGTGTTAACTTGTGGTGTCATTTCTCAGCCACAAAGGGATTGTAGAGGGCAGCATGGATACAAACAAAGCAAGGGTACCCACATTTCCAGCAAGATTGGGGTGCAAGTAGGGGAAATTGCACTCCCAGAAGAGAATGGTGAGGGCTTATTTCCTTCGAGCCCTGTCAGAGAGTGGTGTGTGTGCAAATGTGAATGTGGGGGATGCTGTAACTCTTGCTTACAGAGCACTTAGAGATTTATAGATATTAATTAACTTTTCATTCTAATATTTTTTATGTGTTGTGATACTGATCCTGAATGTAAAGTTTACTGACTGCCAGCTAATCACATCATTATTAAATCACTGGTTTCTTTGTTCATGGTTTAAAGCATGAGAATTGAGCAGTTTTTCCTTGTAATGTACCCTAAGAAGACACTCCTTGAGCAGCAGCAAGGTGATTGCTCCTCAGTCACTGCCTTCTGGTGGCTATCTTCAGCTTTGAGTAAGGAGTGCGCTGTCTTAAAATGTTCAGGTTCTGAGGAAAAAGACAAGCCCTCTTGCTGTCTCCCATGGTAGTTTTCTATTTATGTTGAATGGTATATACTTAGGTGAACACAAGATATGTCTTGCAAATAGTTGCTTGGGCTCTTAATGCCATCATCTGTTTTGGATTTTAGTCTTCCAGACTAAAAAAGGGGAGACTTCATCTCCCTCAAGCAAAGACTGTCTTAGAATAGGAAAGAAAGCAATTTCTGAAAGTGACACTCAAGTAGATTTAAAAACCCAGACGAACCAAACAAAAAAGACCCTAGTACTTTACTCTGGGTAAAATGGTTTCCCCTAAACTATATGGATAAGAAAAGTCCAATAATTAACTAACCATTATATGAAATATTATTTTATTTTGATCTTTGTTATTGCTTTTATAATTTCTTGAAGGTAATTACAATTATGTGGGTTTTAAAATTATTTTTATCCTCCTACAAAATCCCTTCCCACAATAAACAAGTGCCGGAAATTAGTATTGCAGGAGGAGTGTGCTGCAGGTTTGAGTACAGATGAAGAAAGCCCCTGAATAGGTACAAAATGGAATGCAAGGAAGAATTATGAGTAATTGTCTTAGTTGGTTTTGTGATTTTCCAGTGGCACGCTCTCCAGGCTAGTTCTAGGTTTCCGGATGGTCTGTGGCAGAGCAATCAAAGATGTGGATCATAACTGTAATAACAGGTGGAGGACATCTAATTAAAATAAACCAGGCAGGCCGTGTGATACTGTCTCTATTTCCAGGCCTAATATTAGCATGATATGAATTGTCTTATATAATTACATACTTCCTAGTGTTCTTCCAAAATAGTGTTTCATCCCACACAACATTGTAGTCAAGTGCCTGCTCTTTAAAAGAGGTAAATGCAAATAATCTTTGTAAAAATTATCTTTGGAGGAATTGCTTCTTCACTATGACAGATTGGTTGTCAGCTGCTGAATTCATCCAAATCCATGTGCCTGACATGGGTAAGAGGTCTCACAGGCAGGGAGGAGGTGTGTGGATGAAATTCTGATTTCTAATGGTAGCAGCATGTCATGTGATGAAACAGTAAAGTTTGTAAATATTTACAAGAGAAAACCTGTATCATGGTGCGGATTTTTGTTCTTAGTTTCAAGCAACCTACTGATTAATCAACACATAGTTAATGTTTACACCTCATTAAGTGTATCAGTAGTCAGTGCTTTTGTTTCATGTAGACCCTGACATATCATTTGGTGGAAGTCTAATGTAACTCACTTCATGGCTCTTTTCTTTTCCTTTTTAAATTTCCAATGAAATTTCTAGTGAATAAATTAGTAAATTTATCATTTTCTCTATAATAGTGTCACATGGACAGTTTGATGAAATAGCTCATTACAGTCAATGAAGTGAAATATGAGTTCCATCAGCACATTTTCATCAAACAGAGTTACAGAAATTAGCTTGCTGTTATCAAGGACTGTGGAATACAAAAATAAAATTAAGCAAGCTATTAGAGGATAGATTTAGGGAGGGTCCCAATTGAGTTGGAACGCAACTGCCACTGTGAAAAACAGAAGACTGCTGTATGCTTAAATGAATTGTGAAGCATCAGTATTAATTGTTAATGATGTACTTTAGGGACAGAATTCAATTCGGAACCACCTGAGTGTACATGAATATCACACACTGTGCAGCCACTCAACCAGGAATGAATGAAAAGCGAATGCTTGCTGTTCTGCAATCACTGTCAAAGTTTGGAACTGAGCTAACCTGTCTTCACCAGTGCTACTTCTATGACACCATAACAGGCCAAAGAGATGGGAATTCTCTACTGTTAAAGTTATTCTTTCCCCATGTATTTTCCAAATTCAGAATGGAGAAAGAATCTGACTCTGAAGAAGCTGCTATGCTCAACCTGGGAGAATTAAGTGCTGAAATATACCCTCGCATAGTGGGGTGCAGCTCTCTCCTGCCAAACTGAGAAGCTGTTCACAGACAATGAATTGATTCTTTAAGCACTGATTTTTAAGTCAACAACAGTCAATAATCTGTGATCAAATGTGATGTACTCAAGCCTTCTCATTCTTGCAATACTACTCCCAATATTTAACCCTGGATCTTCAGCTGACACTTAACAGTTTGTTTTAATAAATTATTATTAGACTTTATTTGCTGTGTGCAGAGGGAATTATTTCAGCTGTTTCCACTTATTCATGTTATTTTTGTATGTGGTCCCTTTCTAATTTTACTCCTTAACTAGACTGGGAATGAATTCTTAGTATCTTGATAATGATGTTGCATAGACTAAACACTCCAGGCAGCCAAATGCCAGTTTCATGTGACATTTTTTTGCAGGTGTCGTATGCAGTAAAGTTCTTATATGTGAAAGTAGAGGAGGCAGCCTAAATCCTGCCAGGCAGGAACTTGGATTACCACACTTAAGGAAGCTTGGAGGCTGCCTGACTTCTTGTTGAAATGAGAACTGGCTCACTGTCATACTTATTTTCTCTTGAAGGTTATTGTCCTAAGTAAATTCAGTTTCACAATTATGACTCAGTCTCTAATGAATTCTAATAGACTAAACTGCCCGCTCCATTTAGAAGCATGCATGTGTAACATTCTCTCCTCCACTGAGTCATAGGACTTGCCTAATTTTGG